ATGTCTTTTTCTCTTGAGAAAAATAAATCGAAACGTGAAAATTGAGAGAAGTATTTCATCTCGATTTACCGATTTCTCTGAGTGCATGACTTCCACATGGCACGTCAAACTTGGAGTCGATTGCTTGGTTTATTGAGGAGAGAGACACGAATCGAGGGGAAGTGGGTAAAAAGAGAAACTGTCCTAATGGGTAAGCTTCATTTAATCTTCTATTACTCAGGATATGGCCAAGCAATTAATTAGCCGCTTGTGCCAAATAAAAGATAAGAAGCATAGCTACCTGAAAAGGGTATGGAGCTTCATATACCTTGTCTAGTTGCGGAGTTACGGCAACACGAACCCAAAAGTAGGCAACATTAGACAGTTTATGTCGTCGCTGTAATTCTTCCCATCGGCACGATTATCCTCCCGCATGCGAGTCAACTCGGAAGTACTTGCCAGTCGCCCGACCGGTGCCGTTCTCGTTTCCGAATATTTGCTAAGTTGCACGTTGAAAGCCAAAGGCAAAGGCCAGTTTCAGGCCAGTGGGTTCGCGGTCTCCCTCTCTCTGTGTTCCTTGTGTTGTGTCTGTGTGTTTCTCGTCCTTCCTTTCTTTTTCTTTTTCGTGGCTTGAGGATCGATCAAAGAAGTAGAGAACGGGAACATAAATTCCCCTTTGTTTTGAGAGTGAAAAGGGAGTTTCCTTTCCTGAGTTTGCTGGACCGAACCCGAGACCTAAGAATCCTCGTCAAGTATTAATGCTGGGACTATCCTCACTTTAATACGTGACAAGTGTCTGCGTTGATTAATTACTATAATGAGACTAGCTGAGACACAATGCGAGGTACTAAACCCTCCTCTGAAGGATGATTCCAGGGAAAGGGAAAAAGGACACTTTTGAAATGCAAGACCCATGCCTCCATCTAGCGGCGTGGAGGAGAACTTGAGCATTTCCCAAAAACGTTCAAGTGCAAATTGGACACATTGAATGATCGCGTCGTTCCGGTATTAGATCGATGGTGGAATGGCAGTATTGGAAGGCACCGCTTTGCCAATATTTAACCGATATTGGCGAGGATTGGCAATGATTAATGTCAAAATGAAACGGTTTGTGAGGGGCGGCATGGGCCTGAATTTACGAGTCCTCAGCGAGATGTCTGGAAGAAAGCGGAATCGACCGTGAGAGGCCTAATTGGCCCCTTATGTCGAGGATTGAGAGTGTTTTCATCGAAAAAAGGCAGGCCTTGGCCTGATCTGAAGACGGTGCGTGGGGTAGGCCTGGGCCCAAGGTTGGTGAGTCCCTAGAGATGGGGAGGGGAAAGGGGGAAACATAGAAATAACATATGGGCAGGCTAGGAATCGAAAGGTTGAGATTTGAACTGGCCTAAATCGACATTCCGGCCCTTCGAATTCGTGCCACTTCTTCGTTTAGCTCGGTTTTCTCGCGAGCAGACGACAGGACGCAGGAAATTTTAGTCGTCACCTTCCTTCGTTCCCCGTCCCCCAGCCCCTCGTGCCAGGACGTGCATGGCACTTGCCTGGCACTTGCCTTCCCCCTTCTCCCCTTCAGTCTCGTCGTCGTCTCGATACGGTTTTACGTGCGACTGGAAAAGGGAGATAGATTTTTTTTTCCTTCTCGATTCCTTCGCTGTTGAAAATGCCGTCCCTCTGTCGCGTATCGAAATCGTTCTCAGTTCATGCCGAAGGCATTTCGCTCGCCGACAACGATTCTTCGACGTTTAGCACCGGAAAGATCGCGACTCGGAGAGGAATCCGTGCACGAGGAGACGGAACGGAAGACGTCTCCGGGATGCCTCCGGAGACGCGAGCCTCCTCCTCGACCGACCGAAATCGTTCCTCGATCGCCGGACTCGGACCTTCCCGAGGGAACGAAGGCGGGAGATGGGACGGCGCGAATGCATCCGCGAGACTCGTCGCCGTGGGCAGAGAGAGAAACCTTCCGTCGTCTCGTACCGGAGACGCACGGGACGCCGAACGTCCGGTCGCGCGAGGGGATGGGAGACGGACGTCCTCCGATGGAAATGCGTCTCTCTCCGAGATGGACTTTCCTCTGGAACCCGTGCAGAGATCGCAAGCGTCATCGTTTCCGTGCGTTCCGTCCGAGGATCACGGAATCGAACACGATCCGGCAGGCATCCGGGCGAAAGCGTACTTCGGGACGGGAGACACGGATGCGTCCGGCGAGCGAGCGGGAAGCGGATGCGGCGTTCCTGGCATCGATACTCTCGGAAGACCTCGTGCCGTCGACGCGCCGAAAGTCATCGGACGTTCTTCGACCCGAGACGCCCGATCGACCGCGCCGACGAGAGCCCGGTCGGGTGGAGGCGCGAAAGCTCACGCTGCGAAAAGCGATTTCGATCGCTTCCCGAAGCATTGCCATCGGCTTCGTACCGAAATAAATGGCGCAGCGAAAGCGTTAAACGTGTACAAGTTTCTACCGTGCTCGGAGCATGGACCTCTCGAAGCCGAATAAAATGAAAGAATGAAACCAGGGAACCCAAAAAGAAAGCTGCCGAGCGCGAGCACCGAAATGCTTCCGTTCGCTTGCATCTTCCGCGTTCACATCCCCCGTGACACGCGCATTCACCCACATTCACATTCCCACCATCACGCACATTCTGCACGCGTCCTATCCTCGGTTCTCTATGGTGCTGCAGCGAAGACCGAGGTGGAGGGCTCGAGGAAGATAAGGGTCAGCCCTTTTACGCTTCTCGTCCAGAGGGGGAAAAAAAAAAAAGATTTCCTTCTGGACGGGAGAGAATTCGTTTCTATCTGGAGAAAATCATTCTTTCGTCCTAGCAGAAGTTTCTTAATATTCGAGTTTTCTTTAGCGTGGTGTCTACGGACACTCTCTCCATTAAACGAGCAAAAATAAATAAATTCAAACGTATGAAGGATTTTATCTCCTACGATTCCTCTTTTTGAGACGATGGACTTCGCGAAGAAGTGCCTCGGCGCCATTCAGAGATCCGAAATTGGGCGTCGAGCCAAAAAGCCAGCATGGATTCGGTGGTAAATATGAATATATTCCCATTCTCAGGAGACCCCCGAAGGAGCCTCGGGGATTACAACAGATGAAAATTGAATGTCGATGAAAATAAAAACAAAAATCCATGATAATATTCCATATTCACATGATACATTCAATCGCACTGATTTACAAAAGAATCCAGTCACACACTCGAGACATGCTCAGACACAACAGGGCAGTGTTTCCGAGTCTCAAATGGGTCGTGGCAGGGTCGTGGCACGAGTCAGCAAATCCCAGACACAAACGGCGCGATATCACCGAGAGGTTCACTTCCCAGGTCGTCATACGTTGAACACATGGACACGGAGCAGTTTCCTTAGCACCGCGCCGCACAACGGTCGCCGCACTGGTGAGCACAGGAGCCCTCACCCCAAATTGGATGCACCACGTCTGCTGCGAGAACCTCCTCTCTCTCTCTCCGCCTTTCTTGTTTTTTGGTCCGGATGAGGGGCCAATAAGGTCTTGGAGTTCCGATTCAGCCATCCTCAAGGATTCGGTAGGCGTCGATCGTTGGGACCTCGCCGGTCCGGGGAGTTGAGTATGCAGATCGAAGCAACGACATCATCATCATCATTTTAAAAATTAAATAGGAGCTAAAAGCTCGGTGGGCCCCGCACCATGTGGTGGACTGTCACAAAGCATACCCGCCCACCATGGTGAGACCCGCCCGTCACCAGGGCTGGCAGAGTGCAAAACCCCGGTGAAGCTAATGACGTAGCCATGGGAAGGTGTCCCATGACTAAGGTGCGACAAGGTGTCACACCAGGGTCCCTCCCATCTAACGTTTTAGCATTTACAACTAATTATCTTTAATGACAGAGATAGGACATTTAATAAGAAGCAACCTGCCTTTAAGTAGGTTAGTTGGGTGGGGCAAATTAATTTTAGGTCCACTTTTACAAAAAAAAATAAGTCTAACCAGTTTAAGTTTATTGTTACGCATTATCAGAGTTTAATAATATTCATTTTATATTTACATCTTAGAAGAAATTAATTAAGGCCCCAAAAGGAAGGAGGGTTATGGGAGGTGAGAGGGAATTGAGGGAACATGAGAAAAAGGGTAGAAGAGAGAGAGAGGGTGAACTGAAGAGAGAGAAAAATAATAAGAATAAGAATGCGCAAAAAGAGAAAGCAACCTAGCAATGAAAATGGCAAAAGAAATTACATGAGAAAGAAATTATTTAAAAAGCAGGCAACAATATACCAAAAAATGTTGTCCTGCAAGGCAACAACAAATTAACATGAAGTACAAAAAACGTAAAAATAACGCAGAAAGGAATGCAAGCAAAGAAATTGAAAGGGCGACAGACACAACATAAACACACACTGAAAAACAAATGCAACAAGACGCGAGGAATATAAAATTTAAAATCACAGTTTCTGCCCCTGTCCCAGTTACTCAAAATAACAAAAATTCTTTAAAACAAACATCGCAACACAAACAGAAGAAAGGTACCATAGGAAATTGAAAAGCATTATTATACCAAATTTCTGGGGATGGGGGGGGGGGGGGGCCAGCGCAGAAAAGTGATCCTCGAAGAACGACTTCCTCCTGATGGTCCTGTAGAACGCGACGCCATCTCTCGAACTAGGAAAAAAATAATAATATGAAGGGAAAAATGGTGACTTCGACAATGGGAAAGGAGCAAATTGAATGATGCTGATAAACCTTTTGTGTTCTTGACGAAACTGGAAGTTCCATGGATGAAGTGAGCCTACTAAATGGATGAAAGAAGACGAGATAGCATTAGTTGAAAATGTCAAGGGTAAAAAGGTAAAGCAAAAAAAAAACTGCAAGGAAAAAAGTGAATTAGAATAGCTAGGGAGAAAAAATGGTTAATAATGGTTAATAAAAAGAACACAATAAATATTAAGCCTACGTCCGGTTCCAACCTCTGTACCCAGTCACTCGCAATTTAAAATTACACATTATTAAAACATTACATTAAGAACTCAAAAAAGGCAAAAATAAGACTTGAAAATTAATTAATTAAAAAACCTTGCTGGAGACAGGAGGAGTCCGGCGAAGATGGGGGGTCCTCTTGGGATGACTGCTCCTGAAGGTCCTCTTGATCTCGACGTCTTCTCGGGAACTAGGAAAAGAAATAAAATAATAATGCGATTAAAAAAAGAATTCGGCAATGGGAAGAGAAGAAATTGAACAGAGAAGCTCAACCTGTTGGGTTCTTGACGAAACTGGAAGTTCCATGGATGAAGTGAACCTACTAAATGGATGAAAGGAGACAAGAGAGCATTAGTTGAAAACGTCAAATGGCAAAAGTTAAAGGGAAAAAACTGTTTGGAAAGAAGTGAGTTGGAAAAGCTGGGGGGGAATGGGGAAAGGTTAATAGTTGAACAGAACGCAATTAATACATACAAGGCAAAATCACAATCATGAAGAACACACAACACAAAGAAAAATACAGAAAAGATAGAAAAAAGGAAATGGAAGAGTGACAAACAGAACATGAACACAAACTAAAAAGAAAGATAAAATAAGACAATACATGTTAAGAATACGTCCGATTTCAGCCGCATGTCCCAGTCACTCGAAATTTAAAATTACACATTAAAAACAAATTAAGAACTCAAAAAAGGGGGAAAAAAACTTGAAAATAAATTAATAAAAAAACCTTGCTGGAGAAAGGAGCAGTCCGGCGAAGATGGGGGGTCCTCTTGGGATGACTGCTCCTGAAGGTCCTCTTGATCTCGACGTCCTCTCTGGAACTAGGAAAGAAATAAAATAATGATGTGATTCAAGAAAGATGAATTCGACAATGAAATGAGAAGAAATTTAACGAAAGAAACCTGTGGGGTTCTTGACGAAACTGGAAGATCCCTAGATGAAGTGAGCCTACTAAATGGATAGAAGGAGACATAAGAGCATTAGTTGAAAATGCCAAATGGCAAAAGTTAAAGGGAAAAAACTGTTCGGAAAGAAGAAATAATTAATGGCTGTAAAGATTACGATTAACATATTAAACAAAATAATGACATGCAAGGCAAAAAGAAAAAAATTGGTTAAGGGAAAAAAATTACAAAACCTTGCTGGAGACAGGAGCAGTCCGGCGAAGATGGGGGGGTCTTCTTGGGATGACTGCTCCTGAAGGTCCTCTTGATCTCGACGTCATCTCTGGAACTAGGAAAGAAATAAAATAATGATGTGATTCAAGAAAGATGAATTCGACAATGAAATGAGAAGAAATTTAACGAAAGAAACCTGTGGGGTTCTTGACGAAACTGGAAGATCCCTGGATGAAGTGAGCCTACTAAATGGATGAAAGGAGACAAGAGAGCATTAGTTGAAAATGTCAAATGGCAAAAGTTAAAGGGAAAAAACTGTTCGGAAAGAAGAAATAATTAATGGCTGTAAAGATTACGATTAACACATTAAACAAAATAATGACATGCAAGGCAAAAAGAAAAAAATTGGTCAAGGGGAAAAAAATTACAAAACCTTGCTGGAGACAGGAGCAGTCCGGCGAAGATGGGGGGCCATTTAATGGGACAGGTTGTGGACTTATGAACATTTACGAGACTTATTAAGGGACTTATTACGAGACCATTAATTAAGCATGAAGCCTTTCTCCCCTGAATTCATGTATCGAAATTTCAAACTTCCTGCAGTAAGTTGTTCGACGCGTAAAATCACCCTCATCCTACATATTTGTAATACTGCTTCTAGCTACTAAGAAACCAAACTTCCAAATGCTCCAAAATCAAGGGGCGGCTGTTCCGACAACAGCCTGAAAGACCAAAGTCAGCACCCAGTCGTTGAATCGTTGCTTCACGAGGCCGGTTTCAAGACTGCACCCAAGGTCAGGAAACGTATGTTCTCGCCAAAATATATGAAGGCTCCGCTTGATATTGCTCTCAAATAACTGTAGACCATAGATAATGCGTCATTTAGTTAGACGAGAGCATGATCAACCGATTCGGACGGAAATGGTGCTGGAAACTACCAGAAGCCCCACTAAAACCTTGCCAAGTGCAACCCACCGTCAGACATAGCGGTGCCTTTCTGATGGTTTGGGGATGCAAGACGACCAAAGGGAGTCGAGAATCACCTGCGGAATGGACGGTGGACTCTACGCTTAACTCCACTGTCACATCCTCGAAGACGATCTCGAGGGGACCATCAACTACTGCCAGCTCGATGTGGATCAAGCCCTCTTCCTGAAGGATGACGGCCGAGGCGACCGGCCAAACTCTTGACGTTGCGATTCGCTCAGAAATGAAACATAAAACTCCTGGATTGCCTGCCTGAATCACCTTACCCTATTCCCATCGAGAACTTATGGTATCATTTGAAAGGGCACCTGAATGCACGCGAAACAAGGCCTAGGAGCACGCGCGAGTTGTGATCGATAGTCTAATGGAACGTCATTCACAAAACAGAATGTGTCAAGCCAATTGAGAGTATGCCCAGGAGGGTTGCGGCATCACTAAAGGCTAACAGAAAGTAAAATGAGTGAAATATATTAGTGATAATGATTATAAACTAAAAAGGACAAAAACTAACCGAATCGGTGAGCTTCATTTAGCCTTCCATTACTCAGGATATTGCGAGGCAATTGATTAGCAACTTGTGTCTAATAAAATATGGGAAGTATTGCTTTCTGAATAGGGTATTGATGTGGAACCTGAAGGTACCACATGTAGTTGGAGAGTTAAAGCAACATGAAGACAAAATAGGGAAACAGTACGACAGTTCATGTCATCACTGTATATTAGAATTAATTAAGTTTCCTTTGGTGTCTGTGGAAAGATACGAACCATGCAACGACTGCCATTTCCTCGCCTTCGTCCACATGACCCAGACAAGAACGAAAGGGGCTTAGGAGCAAGAGAGATACCTCCATCGGAAGTGGAGAGACAAGGTCGAATCGTTCAGCTGGTGGCGGCGCCTCCAGGGTATAAAAAGGCGCTTGGGACTCGCACCTCCATCAGTCCTGGCGTCCTCTTCGCCGTCTCCGGTTCTCTCCGGGCTGGTAAGTCGTGACTTTTCGCCTTTTATGGGGATTGGCCGTCGTTGTGATGGTACTTGTTGGTAATTGGAAGAATTTTAGTGTGAATGGTATTTAACTTCTGAAGACCCTAATTGTCGCGTTTTCAGATGTTCTCTATAACTTTCATCTGTCGCCGTTGAAGAGTCCTGTTATGTGGATAACATGCGCCAAAATCTACTAGAAACACAATTTATTTTGCCTGGTCTGAGTACCCTTTAATAAAAACAGTAAATTTATAATGTGATACTAAAATAGGATAGCTGAAATGAGATCTACAAGGACAATTATAGCCGTAATATCTTAGAGCATTTTGCTACACGTTCGTAACGTAGGACTGCGCCTGTTAATTCTCTTCTTCCTTCCAGAATATCACAGAACCAAACTTGACAACAAACTTGACGCAACTTTTCTCAACTTTCCAGTTAGCCCCTAACCCTAAAAATTTCAAAGCTGGGTACAGAATAGTTCAAGCTTAATATCTGACGCCTTCCTAGTGCAATTCCTTGGTACCGTTTCTTAATCCCAAACTTTTACTAAAACACCGGTTTTATTTTGAGACAGAGGGAGTACATGTTTTCCTGCTCGAACATAATCGAGGTGGAATTAGGCGCCTGATATTGAATCTCCCTCGAGATATTCCGGGGAAAATATTTCCCAACCATCAGGATTTAATAAAACTCTATCGAACTTATGAGACTCGAAAGATCTTTGAGAGATCTGTCGTTCTATAGGATGAGCATAACTGTACTTGGAATCAAATAAAAGTTATTGAAGGTCAAAATTAAACAAATATTGCAAAATTTGCAACTCTAAGTACACTTCGCAGAGTTTTGAAGCGACTTAAAAATAAAATACATGCTTCTTTGGATAAATCTCATAGAGCATGATAGACACCCCAAAGCTGATCCAGTTATATGCATTTATACTATGAACTTTTTAGAGTTGAAAATTTGATTACTTCATGAATTTCATAAAACTGTAACATTTTTGTAAGTAAGGCACGGTAGATCCAGTGGAGAAAGTTACAGATGTCTGGCTACTCTCTTTAAAATGACCTATAATTCATATTTCTACCTGAAGTAGTTCGGGAGATATGGCATTTGCTAGAGTGGTCATTTTCTCAAACTTTTAAAGGCCATATCTCAAAGACCGTTTGACCAAGACAGCTGAGATTTCGGATTTATCAGTTTCTCATAAGCCCCAGTACATGTGGTTTTTAACAGCAAAATCCCAGTCTGTGCAGCAACCAACCTGGCGGAAATTGAACCACTTGACCTGGAATGACTCACCTGCTCTGTCTCCATTCCCATCTTTCTCTCCCCTCAGCTTCTCGGTCCGAAGACACGATGGGAGATTGATCGCGGTAGCTTTCAATCTGGACCTGTCCAAAGAGCCCGATATGGACCCACCCGAGGCCCTGCTACCCGTCTTGACCATGCTCGACTCGGTGGAAAGTCCGAATAAGTTCGCACTCGCCTCATTTCCCGATTCGAGAGTCTCCTCCTTTATCGTCGTCACGGGTTGGAACGAATCATTTAGGAGCCTTCACATACCTCGGGGAGAAAAGGTGATCCACAGCTTCATGATGGCCACGGACGAAAGTGTGTCGAAACAGGAAAACGTCCTCATCATTCAAATCATGGAGGAAGAAATCATTCGCCTTGCCAAAAGGAAGGGATATTCCGCCATTCTCACCACAAACACCAACGCCCTCACTCAGGTACTTCGACCATCATCTCTCGCACGAAATCTGCAGTATATATTAATCGTGAATCGGCAATGAAGTATTTTTATTTTTTAATATCAGCAATTGGCGTCCCTGCTGGGCTACGAATTGCTCCAGGACTTCCAGGTGAATCAGTTTGTAATGCCGGACGGCTCGACACCGTTTTCCCGAGCTCCGGATGAGCAGAGGGCCATATGCGTCTTGAAACACATCTGAAACAAGAGTCTCGTCCTGTCGACAGTTTTCCTTAAAAATTGTATATTTCTTCTTTTTGGTTTCCTTTCTCCTTTCCATTCCACGAAACGATGCAAACGTGTGCTACGGACGAGTATATTCGACGGGTTACCCAATCGAGCTACAAAAAATCAGCATTGAAAGGATTATGGAAATTCTGTTGCTTCTGTGGGGCTGCTAATCGATGCCGAACAGAGTCAAAATGGATCCTTAACGCCATGACGACGCCCAGGAGTCGGATTCCCTAGCGCTGCATAATAAAGACGAAGGTTGGGCATGAACCATTTCACGGTCATGCCACTACACGGATGAACGCCGTCGTGCTTTGTTTTCTTGGACATCATTTATTTCATCATTTGTCTATTTGCTCTGGAAATAAGAGGTAATAATGGACTATCTTTGGGGGAGAAGGGAAGAAAGGATACGTCTTAATGGTCGCCTGAGCCTTCTGCTCAGCTGATCAGTCGCGTGTTTAAAAAATCTTCATGATCGCCTCCATCCTCACCATCACCCTGTACTTAAACGACACACTTCGGAAAGTACTCAAATGTGTTTGGAATCTAGGCGAAAAGAAGGCTTCTACCCGGTCTGCAGTGTCGGTTCGATGCACGGTGGACGCAACGCGGAAGTTGCGTCGGGCGAGACATCTGGCGAGACGTTAGAGCAAACAAGGTTTCCCTCTCTAGGCGCGAGATGGCGCCAAACCACAGACGCGGGAATTACACCTCGCGCGTGCGGCTGGCACGCGTCCCTCCTACTTTTAAGACGGTATTCCGTGTTTTCTTCGAAGACAGGACCGGGGGAGGAATCCGACGAAAGGGGGAGAGGGACGGCACGGTCCGACTAGATCCGAGGAAATGCTGGCAACGGAGAGAACGATGAGAACCCACAATGGTAAGGACGACCCATAGGCACAATCATAATCTTTAATGGAGCCATCTTTAGTCCATGCTGAGGGTCCCGTTCCTCCTACTTTGCATCGAGATGCCAGTGTGTTCGGTCCCTAACTCCTCGAACAGAAGCAGAAATGGGCCCCCTTTGTTCAAGTTTCCCGTAGATTCGAAAAAGACGTGTTCCGCGAGTACTGAATTTTAGGGGGGATGGTCCTTCATTCGATGAAATGTCCCAAGGACGTAGCTGTATGTGATGGAAATATGATGGAAAAAAAAAAAGAAAAACCGGAGGGGCGAGAGACTCGGGCCGGAAAAATCAATTCTCTGGACGAGGAATCCACATCTGTGGAGGATAAAACCAACCGAATTCTTTTCTCGATGCACCATCGGAAAGCGAGCGATAAGGACGTATGACTATTCGTCGTATTCGTCGAAGATGACAAGAGCGACCACACTCAGTACTTCTCTCGGGACCCACCAAATACGGGATATTTATTCAGAAGTAATATTTGTCGAATTTTGGAATTTTTTACATGGGTTTATTGGTCTTTCTGCTACATCATGGCAAATTTTCACACAAAATGGCCTTCTCTGGCCTCAATGACACGCTCCAGACGATCTACAAATGCCGTAATGCAGTCTGAAACGAAGTCCACGGATATCTTGACCTACTCCTTCTAGATGGCAGATATCAGGGCGTCGATATTGGCTTGGTTGATGCGGCAAACCTTGCTCTCGAGGTTGGACCGCATATTGAAGTCCATGGGTTTCAGATCCGGACTCGAGGGTGGCCACATTTCCTCGGGTAGGAAGTCCGAAAAACTCCTTTTTCAGCCAGCTTTGAGTCTTGTTTGCAGTGTGAGCTGGAGCTCCGTCCGGCTGGAAGATCCAGTCATTGTTTCGAGAACAATCCAGCCTCTTCTGCTTCTGGATATCAGTCAGTAGCTGCCGCTTTGGCACGGAGTAGGACTTTGTCCCCAGATCCTCATGCACGAAGTTCCATACCGTCTTGGGATCAATGACGGCCTCCCTGGCCATATTCCCGAAGGACCTGTGTGGGTTGAAGGCAATCTTGTTCCGGATGCTCTTGATCGTCTCTGGCGTGCGGACGGACCTCTTTTTCACACCCCTGGACCTGGGCTGACTACTGCCATACCTCGTATGACGGTTAATGGTCTCATTGACCATGTCTGCGGTGACCTTCAGGTTCTTCAATACCTTCTTGAGGTCCACTGGGGGGTTTCCGGTCTTGTACCTCTCCACAACGAGGTCGTAGATCTCTGGCATCGTGAGGCAGAATCTTGTCGATCCAACTTGTTTTGGTGACAAATTGCTAACCCTACCATTAAAAATTATTCTAGGAATATTTTTAAAAATAGCCGATTGACGTCCCCACCCAGTACTTTAAACGACACATTTCGAAAAGTATCCTCACCAGAAGGTGGACTGCCCCTGCCCCCCCTCCCCATCCCCCCATCCCTCCTTCCCCCACCCTCATCATACACCAAAATACTAAAGCATACTTAAACGACACATTTCGGAAAGTACTAGAATGTGTTGGGAATCGGGGCAAAAAGAAGGCTTCTACCCGGTCTGCAGTGTCGGGTCGATGCACGGTGGACGCAACGCGGAAGTTGCGTCGGGCGAGACATCTGGCGAGACGTTAGAGCAAACAAGGTTTCCCTCACTCGGGGCGAGATGGCGCCAAACCATAAAAACGCGGGAATCTACTTCGCGCGTGCGGCTGGCACGCGTCCCTCCTACTTTTAAGACGGTATTCCGTGTTTTCTTCGAAGACGGGACCGGGAGAGGAATCCGACGAAAGGGAGAGAGGGACGGCACGGTCCGACGAGATCCGAGGAAATGCTGGCAACGGAGAGAACGATGAGAACGTCTTCGTCTCGATCCATCGAGCTAAATCATTCGCGAGATTCTGGGTGTCGAGAGAAAGAATGGACGGAACGATTCACGTCCCTCTCATCCTTCACCGTAAATGGTTAACTTCTTCTAAACCCTGGTTTCCAATCCATGAGGTCCGTGTGGAGTTGGAGACGAATTGGGGGGGGGGGGGGGGGGGGGGGGGGGGGGGGGGGGTAGGGGATGCGGTCGCGAGACGAGACGCGAGGAGGGGAGGAGGGGAGGGGCGAGGGGAGAATTAAGACGACAGTAGAGATGGAAGGTCCCAAGGACGTAGCTGGATGTGATGGAAATATTTTTGGAACGGTTTTCCGACCACGGAAAAGCGTGGAAGCGATTCTTCGGAACCTCGCGGTCGAACGGTCCACCGAGTCCCACGGGCCTCGTACTTTTCCCCGTCCTTTCTGGTACTCTTGTCCATCTGGAAGATGCACCGGACGAGACATCTGGTGAGGAGTTCGCGCAAAGGAGGTTTCCCTTCACCCGACTCGAGATGGCGCGAAATCGCCAACGCGGGGGATACGCGTGGAGCATGCAGCTGGCACGCGTCCCCGGTACTTTAGGATCGGTACGTCGTGTTTCCTCCGAAAACAGAACCGGAAACCAACTAAAATTGCCGGATGCATTCGAAGAAAGAGACGGCACGATCCGACGAGGTCCGAGGCCATGCTGGCTCGGCAGTTTTTTCCCTTTAACTTTTGCCATTTGACATTTTCAACTAATGCCCTCTTGTCTCCTTTCATCCATTTAGTAGGCTCACTTCATCCAGGGATCTTCCAGTTTCGTCAAGAACCCAACAGCTTCAGCATCTTCCTTCAAATTCTTCTCATCCCATTGTCGAATTCATCTTTTTTTCCACGAGATCGACGAGATCCAAGGCCATACCGGCTCGGGAGACGGAGAGAACGACGAGAACGTTTTCGTCTCGATCCGTGAGACCTCCTCTGGGCGATGTCTCATTCCGGCCTTTCGAGGACGAAAGGTCGCGTTGCTGGAAGGATCCGTGGCCGTCTCGTCTCCGATCCCGATCGTTCCGTCGTCCGCACCTCGACGCCGTTTCCTCGACTCCGTGGACGAGGGGACGAAGGGAGGTCGGAGGCAGAGGCGAGTTCGGACTACCGAGTCCGAGTCCGATCCCATCTGAATCCTCCTCGCATTCCACCCCGACCGAACCGAACCGATCCGGTCGGAAGCGGAGGAATCTGAAGCCGATGCGATCTTTCGGGCACGAGTCCGGTCCGATCCGCGGCCGTCCGGAACGATAAAAAATCTCTCATGAACCGGTATGTCCGCGGAGCGACGAAACGATACGGAAGGTTCGGAATCGTGCGGGAGGTATCAAGCGAGTTAATTTTGCTGCGCGTCGTCGTCATGTTGCATGGAGATGGCACGCGACGAGGGAGTCGAAAGACCACAAAGCACGGAGAGATCCGAGGCAATACTGCAGTGGATCGGGAACAAAATAAATATTAAAAAAACCGGAGGGTCGAGAGACTCGGGCAAGAAGAATCAACTCTCTGGACGCGGAATCCACATCTGTGGAGGCCAGAACCAGCCGAATTCTTTTCTCGGTGCACGATCGGAAAGCGAGAGATATTTCTTCCCGCTTTCGGCTCGTCTCAAAATTTGCATGCAGATCTATCGGATGGTTCCGGATCTTCCCGAATTTTTAGGATCGAGCGAATCCGACCGCATCCGGTCTCGACTCGCCTCGGGTCGGAGGGGATGCGGTCGCGAGACGAGACGCGAGGAGGGGAGGAGGGGAGGTGATCGCGCCGATCGCGGTGGGAACGGACGGGAATATCGCGGCATTCGCACGCGTCGGTCGATCGAACCCGTTCAAAAATCGGTTCGATCGGAATCGATGAGGGAAATCGATACGATCTCCGGCGCGATTCCGGCGGAAACGATTCGCGGAGAATCCGCCCATCGCTTAGTGGCCGGGGACTCGCAACGAAACGTTTTATTCCGATCGAGACGATCATTTGTTCGAGGAGGAATCGAATGTCGAGCCCTTTTTCTTTCGGTTCTCGGGTCAGAGTCAAGATATTTTCATTTGGTCGCTTTCGTGGATTCGCTTGCGATCCGAATTTCGGGATCGTGCCACTGCATTCTCGGTTCGAGGAAGGAATTTTTCTTTTGCCGCGCGTTTCTTTCCCATTCCTGAATCTGATAAGGGCGATATGGCCCGGAAATGCCGGGTCGTTTGGAGATTCTTGTCGCTCCTTGGGGGGACTGTGTAACGGTCGCCTCGAAAATCCCCTGTCGTCAAGCAGACCTGTCTGGCCTGGTGCGAGACGGGATGGCCCCGCGGCCTTGCCGGCTCCAAGGTCGGGGGGGAGGGAACCGGCCTCGGGGCGAGGGAAGCGGCCTCGGGGCGAGAGCGAGGACAGCCCGACCGCGCTGCCCTCGCCCGCCCGAGAGGATCCCTCCCTCCCCTTCCTCAGTCTGCTGCCGGGTTGCCTCACGATCGGTGCACAGGTCGTGGGGCAGCCCGTTTCAGCTGACTCTAGATTAAGCGTCCGGTTTCAGCCTCTGTCCCGTCTTTAATTAGCGTTTTTCTCGTTTTCTGTTTTTATTTCGATAACGTTCCTTTCTATTATTTTTTCTTGCGTTTTACGTTCTTCATGTAATTTTTAATTTGTCGATGTCTTCAGGGTCATTTATTTTCTTTGTGCCATGTTTCTTGCTCCTTACAGCCATTAATCATTTCTTCTTTCCAAACAGTTTTTTTCCCTTTAACTTTTGTCATTTGACTTTTTCAACTAATGCTCTCTTGTCTTCTTTCATCCATTTAGTAGGGCCATTTCATCCATGGAACTTCCTGTTTTCTCAAGAACACGCCAGGTACAGCAGCATGATTCAATTTCTTCGCTTCCCATTGTGGAATTCATCATTTTTTCAATCATATTATTTCTTTTCCTAGCCCGAGAGATGACGTCGACATCAAGAGGACCGGCAAGAGGAGTCATCCCAAGAGGACCACCTATCTTCGCCGGACCTATCTCCAAAAAAAAAAAGGTTTTTTTAACTAATATATTTCAACGTCCTTTTAAAGACTTTCTTAAGTTATGATGTGCTTTTTGTGTATTTTAACGAGTTTAATATGATTTAACCTTTGATGTCCGGTTTCTGCCTCTGTCCCAGATTTGCTTTTTATTTTTGTTTCTGACGTTTTAAATTTGTTTTAATTGTGTGTGTATTATTCTATGTTTTTCATGTGAATTTTAATGTGTTGTTGCCTTGCATGTCATTATATTGTGTGATTTTGCACTATATGTGAATCATGTTCTTTGCAGCCATTAATCATTTCTTCTTTCCGAACAGTTTTTTCCCTTTAACTTTTGCCATTTGACATTTTCAACTAATGCTCTTATGTCTCCTTTCATCCACTTAATAGGCTCACTTCACCAAGGGATCTTCCAGTTTCGTCAAGAACCCCACAGGTTTCTTTCGTTCAATTTCTTCTCATTTCATTGTCGAATTCATCTTTCTTGAATCACATCATTATTTTATTTCTTTCCTAGTTCCAGAGAGGACGTCGAGATCAAGAGGACCTTCAGGAGCAGTCATCCCAAGAGGACCCCCCCATCTTCGCCGGACTGCTCCTGTCTCCAGCAAGGTTTTCTAATTTTTTTCCCCTTAACCAATTTTTTTCTTTTTGCCTTGCATGTCATTATTTTGTTTAATATGTTAATCGTAATCTTTACAGCCATTAATTATTTCTTCTTTCCGAACAGTTTTTTTCCCTTTAACTTTTGCCATTTGACATTTTCAACTAATGCTCTCTTGTCTCCTTTCATCCATTTAGTAGGCTCACTTCATCCAGGGATCTTCCAGTTTCGTCAAGAACCCCACAGGTTTCTTT